TTCTCGTGCCATTTCTCACTTATTAGGCATTGAAGACCCCATTTGGGAGGTGATATCTAGAAAAGCTCGGATATCTTACGGGTAAAACCAGAGATATCAACGGAGGAGGGGGAGGGGGAGGAGGTGGTGGAGAGTGTGTTATTGTGTGTGTGTGTCGTGGGAAGGAGTGGCGGCCAGGCAGTAATGAACACACCGCGGCACCCTTAAGTCGAGTTTATCCGGCGCTCATCTGGAAAATGTTCGGTTATCTCCATTCTCCAAAATACCGAGAGGTTGGCATTAGTCACTGATGAACGTAACGCACCGCCGAGTAACACACACACACACACACACACACACATGTCATAGTTTGTCCTACTCTTGTTGTGGATTTGGATTCTCTTGTGATGGCCAAATAACGCGCCTTAGAGTCGATTAGTAGAGCGAGATTTATTTAGCCATTGTGTTAAGAAGGAGGTGGGTGTATGGGTGGGTAAGGAGGTGGGTGGGTAGGCAGGTGGGTGTATAGGTGGGTAGGGAGGTGGGGGTGGGTGGGTAGGGGAGGTGGGTGTATGGGTGGGGTAGGGAGGTGGGTGTATGGGTGGCTGGGAGGTGGGTGTGTATGGGTGGGTAGGGAGGTGGGTGTATGGGTGGGGTAGGGAGGTGGGTGCATGGATGGGTAGGGAGGTAGGTGTATGGGTGGGTAGGGAGGTAGGTGTATGGGTGGGTAGGGAGGTAGGTGTATGGGTGGGTAGGGAGGTGGGTGGGTGGGTATAGGTGTATGGGTGGGTAGGGAGGTGGGTGGGTGGGTATTGAGTAAGCTGTGCACGTCAGTAACCCGTCATTACCCCTGGCGTGTTGGCTTACTCCGCTGTTGCTGCCTCACACCACACTAAACTCCGCTTCACAACTTGCTCATGTTTCATATTTCCTCCTATAACGACAACAACGAACTCTTCTCACTCTACTCTCTCTTCTCACTCTTCTCTCTCTACTCTCTCTACAGTGTATTAACCCAACTCTTACATATGTAGTGTACACATTAGAGGGAATTTAACAAACATTTTTAACAAACATTTACACTGGATGTAATGTATCTTGCTCCTGGTTGGTGGTTGAATGTGACGTCACGGGCTCATTCCTTCTCGCTGATTGGGCGGTATGTGTGGTGAGCCGCAGGATGTATCTCGCCGCTTATTGGTCGAGTAACCTCCCTCCTCCCTCCCCTAGCGAGTGTATCAACTGTATTTTTCTGTATTTATTATCATGTATTTTCGCCTTTAGACACCCGCGAATTATACAAAACCTCACTAAAGGGAGATTAAACCACAATATTAAGATACAAAACAAAACAAACGTTATGGATCAATTAATAAGATTTTTCTGTTTATTGTTAGGTTAGGTTAGGTTAGGTTAGGTTAGGTTAGGTTTGCATTTAGTTAGTGGTTAGGTTAGGTTAGGTTAGGTTTGCATTTAGTTAGTGGTTAGGTTAAGTTGAATTAGTTTCGATTAGGTTTGGATTATGTGATCAGGTTGGGTTAGGTTACGTTGATTTAGGTTAGGTTGGATTAGATTACAGCGTAGGTTTGGATTAAGTGGTTAGGTTAAGTTTGGTTAAGTCAGTGTATCAATCTATTTATCTATCTATCTATTTATCGATCTATTTATCTATTTATCTATCTATCTAATTTTCAGGTAAGTGTGAGTCAGCAGTTTCTCCATTGAAGGTAGCATGACCACGTAAGGTAAGTGCCTGATCACCTGAAGTTTAAACACCCTAATACTTCTTGGGGTTAGGTTAGGGTGGTTAATCTTCAGGTAAAATAATCCGGGGTGTTTAATCTTCAGGTAAAATAATCCGGGGTGTTTAATCTTCAGGCAAAATAATCCGGGGTGTTTAATCTTCAGGTAAAATAATCCGGGGTGTTTAATCTTCAGGTAAAATAATCCGGGGTGTTTAATCTTCAGGTAAAATAATCCGGGGTGTTTAATCTTCAGGCAAAATAATCCGGGGTGTTTAATCTTCAGGTGAGATAATATTTTTGACTCCGAAGCATTTTACTTTAGTTAGTGATTAATATATTGTATAGTTTTCTATTAAGGTCTGAGAAGGTTAGTTTTCTTTGGTCTGAGAAAATATTTTACGGCTAACTAGTTTAATTCTGTTCTCTGGCAGGTTGGGGGGCATACATAGGTGCATAGATAGATACATCATACATGTACACATAGATTCATATACATAACCATATATACAGATACACATATACACACATACATATGAATTTAGATAGATAGATATTCATTATTTAGCAATACCAGCCAAGGTTCAATTTATTCATCTTTGTACTAAATAGGTTTTTTTTTCTTGGGGTGACTTAAAACAATTGATTTATATTTTATTTATTTATTTTATTCATCGTCTTAGAGGTATTGTGTAGACATAAATTAAAAGATAGAAAATACTCACACATGTACACCAGCTTATAGCCTATGGTTGTGAGATGAGTTATGGAGTTATAGGTCTGTGTTGTAGGTTAGGTTAGGTTAAATGAATTGGAGGATCACCTGAAGAATCGTCGCCCCAGAAAGTCCACCTGAAGAATCGTCGCCCCAGCCCACAGTGAATATAATATGTATAATTAGGCTAACATAAATATATTCCTTTGTGTTATGCTTCTTTATTGTGATGCATATTACAAAGGTACCGAACAGCAATGTGTTGACATAAAATTTTCAGAGGATTATCAGAAAAACGATTATGCCACATGAATTCTTGAAGGTAAGAATTTAAAAAGCTTCGTTTGCAGCCACGCATGGTCTTGATGTAACTCTTGTTCTTGTTCCAATATGATTCAATCGTTTGTGTGTGCACACCAGTATTTACATCCACAAAATTGACTGATTGGTTGACAGTTCTGTGCGTGTATCCAAGACCATGAATATTGCGGTATGCTCTCCACTCATCACTGTGAATGACTGATCCTTGTTGAACCACTTTGAGTACTATAGGAAGAAGGGTGGCAGCATCCCTTGTCTCGACAATTTCCATGTAGCCAATTGAAGGGCTCCTGCTCGTGTCGACGATACCGAAAACCCAAATAGGAGAGTGTGGTGCACGTCCACGATGGTAGGACAACAGTTTGGAAGATATTTTTCCAGGTATATAGAACAAAAGTCAAAGACAAAGTTGGACCTTTAAAGTCAGGAAGGGGAGAAGTGATAAATGGCAGTGAAGAAATAACCAAAGCATTGAACAACTACTTCTTATCAGTTTTCACAGAAGAAATTCGTGAGGAAATTCCAGAGGTGGAACTGATATTTAGGGGAAAGGAAGAAGAGAAATTAAAGAATATCACTATCAGAAAAGAGGATGTTCTTAAGAGGATAAATAAACTAAAGAAGACAAAATCCCCAGGGCCGGATGAAATTTTCCCTCAAGTCTTGAAAGAGTGTAGGGAACAGATTAGCGGACCCCTTGCAAATTTATTGACAAAATCATTAGACACCGGAGTTGTGCCAGACTTGTGGAAACAGGCAAATGTAGTACCCATATTCAAAAAGGGAGACAGAGCATCAGCGTCAAATTACCGGCCGATCAGTTTGACGTCAGTAGTGGGGAAATTTCTTGAATCAATTATAGTAGAGAGCATCCGATCGCATCTAGAGAAAAGCAAATTAATCTACGACTCTCAACATGGGTTTACAAAGGGAAAATCTTGTCTAACAAATCTGCTGACGTTTTTTAGGAAAGTCTTCGAGGTACTAGATAATGACGAAAATTACGATGTTATTTACTTAGACTTTAGCAAAGCATTTGACAGAGTACCGCATCAGAGGCTTCTGAGAAAAATTAAGGCTCATGGTATCGAGGGGAAAGTTTTAAATTGGATAAAATCATGGCTCACCGATAGAACGCAGAGGGTCAGCGTAGATGGTGTTAAATCTGAGTGGGGCCGTGTAACCAGTGGGGTTCCCCAGGGGTCAGTACTAGGCCCACCCTTGTTCATAATCGACATAAACGATCTAGATACTGGGATCAGCAGTGACATAAGCAAGTTTGCGGATGACACCAAAATAGGGAGGCAGACTAATTCAGGGCAGGATGCAAATGCATTATAGGAGGATCTAAATAAACTGCAGGTATGGTCTGAAAAATGGCAAATGAAATTCAACACCAGCAAGTGCAGCGTACTTAATATTGGAAGAACAAATACTGACAATGTATACAGCCTTAACAACATCAACCTAGAGAAGTCGACTTGTGAAAGAGACCAAGGGGTACTTGTAAGCCCGGACCTACGGCCTAAAAAACAGTGCGTTAATGTTCGAAATAAGGCAAATAGAGCATTGGGTTTTATATCTAGAAGTGTAAGTAATAAGAGTGCAGAGGTCTTATTGTAACTATATCTTGCGCTAGTCAGGCCGCACCTCGATTATGCGGTTCAGTTCTGGTGCCCTTATTATAGAATGGATATCAATTCACTAGAGTCGGTGCAGCGAAGAATGACGAAAATGATTCCGGGACTTAGAAACCTTCCATATCAGGATAGGTTAAAGAAACTTAACTTGCATTCCCTAGAAAGACGAAGAGTGCTGGGAGATATGATAGAAGTATTTAAGTGGGTGAAAGGAATCAATAAAGGGGATATTGATAAAGTTCTTATAATATCCGAGCAGGATAGGACTCGGAGCAGCGGATTTAAGTTGGATAAGTTTAGGTTTAGGAGGGAGATAGGAAGGAACTGGTTCACAAATAGGGTGGTGGACGAGTGGAACAAGCTTAGCAACTTTGTGGTAAGTGCTAGAACTCTGGAAAGTTTCAAAAGGAGGCTAGATAGATTCATGGATGATAGAGAGTGGTAGTAACTCTCGACATGAGCTGCCATGCACAGGCCAATCGGCCTATTGCAGACTCCTTATTTTCTTATGTTCTTATGTATAGTCCTCCTACCTGACTGGAGGGTCCTGACTCCACTAACCTGAAGATTAACAACCGTGGAGGCTCCTGACCCCACCTGAAGAATTGTCACCCCAGGTGTTGCCACCTGAAGAATCGTCGCCCCAGGATATCTCACCGGACTCTGGGGCGACGATTCTTCAGGTGATCCGAATTAGAATTTCTAGAGAATGAATGTTATGGCTTAACCCCTCTCGTATGATGACTGATGATGAGTTAAGACACACGTACTAGGGGTGGAGGAAGGGCTTTAGGAATGGTAAGTTACCATCACCCGGGTATCTGTCATAGCAGGAGTGGTGGCCGGGTTTCTCACATCTCTGCCACACTCCAGGGTTCTCGTAGCCACCCTTAGCCTTACCTATATCTGTCGTACTATGAGTCCTCCAGTGAGAGGCGTGTTTCAGGTACTCGAATCCTATGTAGTTCCTGGCGATGAGACCTGGGTTGGCCACCACATTTCTCCAGCGACCAGCGTATAGTATTTTCGTTGGGGTGTTTCTGTACTCGGCCGGCAGCCACTGTCTAGTGACATTCCCGTGGGAGTAAAACTCGAGGAAGAAATATGGACACTTAATAACGAAGTATACTTTCTCCTTTACCACGTTCAAGGTACATTTGCGTTTCTTGATGTACTTTCTCATCTTAAGCCATTGATCGTATTTTTGTTGCTCAAATAGTATGTCACTATCGTAGTCCCAGGGTAAGTAGCCGCCCATCTTGACGGCCCCCAGGTTAGACCCGGCATGTAGCTCATAATGTAGATTGTGTTCGTCGCCGTAGTCCAGCAGGTAGTCGAGCTCTTGTTCCATGATGGCTCTACAGCACGGGGGAAGGAGGAAGGACTTAATTCTCTTAAGAGGATCCTTACAGGATATATCAACGGATTTACAGGAGAAACTGTGGACGTGTCCTGTGTAAGACGTGACTTTCTCTATGTTCCAGAGACGTGCGACCTTCTGCCAGTCTTCTTTGATCATGTTGACGTGACTAGTGAGGTAAAACATGACGTCAGGACACACCATGGCCATGTGGCCCGCCGCTCGCACTTTATTAAACCATTCACGATACATAGCTGGCCCGCTGAGTGTGTCCGCGAAGGGCAGACTGTTGATGAACTTGGTAGAGGTGATGAAAGGCGTCAGCAGGTCATCACAGTACATACACTCGTACTTGGAGTAGTAGTAGCCCGTGGTGTACAGGGCCTGGTAGTCGGCCAGGCGCTGCTGCAAACAGCCGTGAATCCAGTGACTCTGAAGGTCCCTGGCAGCGCCCGCCGCCACCTCTACATGTTCCAAATCGTCCAGAACACGTACCAGACGCTCCAGGGATGACTGGTTGTCAAAGTGCGCCAGCGACATCCCAACTAACACATACGGTGTAGTTATCTGCTTTATGGCCTTGTTGAGTACGGACCCATCATAGAAGCCGTTACTATTATAACTGACAGTCGTAACATCCGTCATGTTGTGTGTAATGTTAGGTGCTTCACTTATAACAACAATGGGGATGTCGTAAAACTTCCTAATCTGTGAGATAACGAAGGTGGTGGTGTTAGGCGACCAAGAGAAGGCGGGAAGCACCACGGTGAGCACCTCCCGGAACGGCGGCACGTAACTACACTTCTCTGCCTCCATCCCGTGGAACCGGAAGTTGTCAACCTTAGGACCCAGATACACCTCAGGACACACGTGTCTGGTCCTTCCTGGCGAGGGTGGCGCCGGTTCCATGTCCTTGAGTCTAGCGGAGAAGTCCCAGGTTGAGAGGTTGGTCACGGCCATCTTGGGGGACAAGTCTGCTATCACCGCCTTCAACCCCACCGCCCACTTAGCGTCCACCACCGCCTTCTGTCCTGCGGGGGAACACACAGCGGTGTACAGTACAGCATATAGTACATGTATAGAGGACTAGTTCTTCACATTATGTAACCGTAACGACTGTCACACAAAACAGGAAAGAACTAACCGTTTTCCTGTGTATAAACATCCTAGGTACACACACACACACACTCTCTCTCTCTCTCTCTCTCTCTCTCTCTCTCTCTCTCTCTCTCTCTCTCTCTCTCTATCTATCTATCTATCTATCTATCTATCTATCTATGCATCTAAACACACATTGGACACACAACTAACAAATTTGAGGACACATATACTACAGAGATGAAGGTGGGATACATAATAAATAACATGACACAGGTGGAAGCAGGTAACCAAGTCCCAGGTTGCTAATCTGTCTTTCTGCCTCATTTACACACAATTGCAGGGTCTCAATTGTTTCTCTTACCATTGACAACACAACATACATATATTGTTTCTCACTCTTGATCTTTTTTTCATTTTTGTATTTCTTTATGTTTATTTATTATTATTATTATTATTATATCATTATTATTATTATTATCATTGTTAGCATTATTCTTATTTTTGTATATTTTATTAAAAATTGTACTTATCTGAATTATTATTATTTTCATCATTATTTTTACATTTTCGCCCCCCAGGCCCCGATGTGGGTCAGTGACCTGTGCCCGGGTGGACTAATACCCGTAAAAAACACACACACAAATATACATAAGTAATGAAGATATACCTGTACCTCACCTGGCCTATTAGTACGTGTAGTTGGGGTAGGAAAACAGACGCGGATCACCTGATGATTAGACACCCTAGTTTATTTTTTTTACTTGATAATTAACCACCTTAACCTAAACCTAACCATCTCCACATATCCATCACCTGTTCCGTTACCATACTCTCACCCCACTCCCCTCACCCCTCACCATATTCTCCACCCACCACCATCTCTCACCCCTACCACCATCCTCTCACCCCACCTGCTCTCACCCTACTCACCACCATACTCTCACCTCACCACCATCTCCCCTCACCACCATACTCTCACCCCACTCCACCACAATACTCACCCCTCACCACAATAATCTCACCCCACTCACCACAATAACTCACCCCAATATCTCACCCCACTCACCACAATAATCTCACCCCTCACCACCATAATCTCACCCCACTCACCCATACTCTCACCCCACCCACCATACTCTCACCCTCACCCACTCACCAACACCTCACCCACCATACTCTCACCCCACTCACCACCATCTCACCCCACTCACCACCATCTCACCCTCACCACCATACTCTCACCCCTCACCTCTCACTCACCATACCACCTGTCACCAAACTCACCCCACTCACCACCATATTCACCACCACTACCTCACTACCCCACATCACCACCCCACTCACCACCATACCTCACCCACACCCCCACCACCACCTATTCTCACCCCTCACCACCACTCTCACCCCTCACCACCATACTCTCCCCCCACTCACCACCATACTCTCACCCCTCACCACCATACTCTCACCCCTACCCCACCATATTCTCACCCCACTCACCATACTCTCACCCCACTCACCACCATACTCTCACCCCACTCACCACCATACTCTCACCCCACACCACCATACTCTCCCCCTCCACCACCCACCACCTCCCCCCACCACTACTCTCACCCACTCACCACCACTCTCACCCCCACTCACCACCATACTCTCACCCCACACCCCTCACCACCATACTCTCACCCCTCCCACCTGTACCTCACCCACCACTCACACTCTCCACCCCACTCACCACCATACTCTCACCCCTCACTCACCACCATCTCACCCCTCACCACCATACCTCACCTCACCCTCTCACCCCTCACCACCATACTCTCACCCCTCACCCATCTCTCACCTCACCACCATACTCCCACCATACTCTCACCCCACTCCCACCACCATACTCTCACCCCACCCACCATACTCTCACCCACCTCACCACCACCACTCTCACCCCTCACCCCTCACCATACTCTCCCTCCCATACTCTCACCCCTCACCACCATACTCTCTTACTCACCATACTCTCACCCCACTCACCACCATACTCCCACCCCACTCACCACCATACTCTCACCCCACTCACCACCATACTCTCACCCCACTCACCACCATACTCTCACCCCACTCACCACCATATTCTCACCCCACTCACCACCATACTCTCACCCCACTCACCACCATACTCTCACCCCACTCACCAGCTAGTCGAGATATCTGCCTCTGGATGTCCTCCAATTCTTTGACCAATCTTCTATCACGGTACTGCTGATGACCTACTCTAGCCTGACCTTGTTGACCGCTATCCTGGTGGCCCTGAGTTGCCGCCGGTAGACCTGTGGGGATAGTGTTAGGTCAGTCGCGTTAACCTTGATGCTCCCTTAACACACTCTTAGAACAGCATCATTTGGTGTTTTTTCTGTTTGTCTTTCTGTTTGTTGGTGTATTTGTCTATGTATGTAGCTATTCTTTCTGTCTGTTGTTTCCCGTTGTTCGCCTACCCTCCTCTCTGCTTACTATGCAATGTTGTGTCTCAGGGGATCGAGATCTTCGGCCCCAAAGCCAACAACAGTCGCAGATATTGACTATGGGGCAACAGTCACTGAATGGTGTATAGATCTGCGGCTTAACCGACTCAACACAGCTAGGGGCAGTTAATTATGTATTAGGCTATTTAATATTAAGGTAAGAAAATGGCGGCGAAGGTGTGGCTATTGGGGGAGGCTGTAGGCCATTAATAAAAACAAGTTATAGTAGTATAAGTGGAGGAAGATTCTTACTTTTAATGCGGGTATCGTTGAGTAAGTCATTGTATATGAAGTGGTTGATAATGATGAGGACCAGGCTAGCCCCCAACACCCAGGCACACACGTGTTGTCTCGAGTGCCCCTTCATGCTGCCACCTGGCCACACCACCACCTGGAAGAAGGATTGCATGGAATTTCGGGACCAGGAGAAAACTAGGCATGTGAACTGGGAATCTTAGCTTCAACCTAACCTAACGAAACCTAACTTTGTAATAGCACTATATATAACTTATCGACATAATCCATGACCATTCAGGCATTTCCGCCATTAATGCATGAGTCAACTCTGAATACTTCTTTGTTGGGCGTTTTAAACACTTGTGCTCTTCGCCTTGCACTTGTGGGGAGGATGTTCTTCAAGGTTTTGTGTTTCACCTGTTGTAATTATATTTAGATCATATTAAACAACTACTGTATATTGCATGTGTTCTGGGGATCAAGTTCTATCTACAGGAGCGAACACAAACACCTGTAGAGTTTTCGTAGGTTCTATTTACTGGATAAACGAAGGTATGTACACAAGGGAGGTAGCACTCCTTACTCTGTATGGGGGTCAACTAGCCTCTAGGCGACATGTGGCAAGTGGTACATTAACAGCTCCCATATGTCGCCAGGCACATTAATTAAGCGTGTGGGACATGGTAAATACATAGCCACACGCTGCTAGCTAAGCTGAATAAATAGTGTATATAAATGGAGCACATACATAATATACATACAGCATACATAATATACATACATATATCATCATAGTGGCGGATCTAAGACAATGGTTAACTTGACAACATTGTAACAGGTCAATCAAGTTAGATTTTTCAGTTTATTGGGCACCTTCTCACATCCTGGGGCGAAGGGCAAAAGCGTTTACAGCTGTTTATAGCGAGGCGTAACAGGTCCCTAATAAGTCAAGTGTCATGCCTGTCTGTAGGAGGAGGGATATTGGTCAGGGGGAAGGGGTGTTGGTGACGGCTGGGGACTGTGGCATGGTGGGGTTGGAGGGAGGCACGTAGGCATTAACAGTATTAAGGGATTAACTTTTTAGAGTGAGTGTGATGACGTGTACGTCGGTAGTTGCAGCGACTAGGAGGAGGTCGAGAGGTTGATAGGGGACGTCCTTCCTGACGCAGGTACGTAGTCCACGAGCAGTACAGAAACAGGTTAAAGCATCTTAATTTGCACTCCCTTGAGAGATGTAGAGTGAGGGGAGATATGATAGAGGTGTATAAATGGAAGTCAGGGCTAAACAAAGGGGACATAACAAAGGTACTCAAACTATCCAACCAGGAGCGAACTCGTAACAATGGTTTTAAATTAGACAAATTTAGATTTAGTCGCGAAATAGGTAAACATTGGTTTGGAAATAGAGTAGTGGATGAGTGGAACAAGTTACCAAACATCATCATTAACTCGAATACGCTGGATAGCTTCAAACAGGTTGGGTGGATATATGAGCGATAGGGGTTGGGTGTAAATGGGACTACCCAGTATGGCTCGCTGTAGTTTCCTCCATTCTTAATAATAATAATAATGGAAGACAAAACTAGTGAGAAACGATATATGTATGTTGTGTTGTCTAAGAAAAGAAACAATTTAGAGCCTGCAATTATGTGTATATGAGGCAGAAAGACAGGGACTTGGTCACAATTATTGAGATGCCATATTGGCAGCAGGGTCTACCATTAGACAACACATTATGCTTCCAATATATTCCCAGGCGGTAGTACCTCCCTGTTTGATAGCTGCCTACTACCTACTACTATACTGATGCTGCTAGTCAAAGGAAATTCCCTTTGTTTATTTAAAAAGTGTAATGTGGGAGGGAGGGAAGGGGAGAGTGTGAGGGAGGGAGGGGGAGTGGGAGGGAGGGAGGGGAGAGTGAGGGAGGGAGGGGGAGAGTGTGAGGAAGGGAGGGGGAGAGTGTGAGGGAGGGAGGGGGAGGGGGAGTGTGAGGGAGGGAGGGGGAGTGGTGTAATGATTCCCTCACAGACGGTGTTATGAGGGACCTGACGTGGTGTAGTAATTCCCTCACCGATGGTGTTATATGAGTGAGGTGTGGTCTTAATCCTTCCTATCGTAGACGGAGTAACACATGGGTCTCACGGGCTGTTATCACTGGGTACCTGGGACCTCACTGTGTGAAAGTTAACTTGGGTACAACTGTTACTGTTGAGTTGTTCTCACTGACTTAAGCACTGTTTACCACTGTTCACCTCTGTTTAACACTGGTTCCATTCCTTTCCTAAATGAAATTGCAACTTCTGGCGAGAACTTGTTGATATTCCGGTGGGGAGGAGGGTTCAGGGGAGGGGTTTGGTATGGGCCAACTTAACAGTTGACCTGGCTGCTCCTAGAGGAGCGCCAGGTACGTCTTGACCCTTCGGTGGTCACTGATGTTAACCGTCACAGATGTTAACCGTCACATATTAACCGTCGCAGATTTTAACTGTCACAGATGTTAACCGTCACAGATGTTAACCGTCACAAATATTAACCGTCACAGATATTAACCGTCACAAATATTAACCGTCACAGATGTTAACCGTCACAGATATTAACCGTCACAGATGTTAACCGTCACAAATATTAACCGTCACAGATGTTAACCGTCACAAATATTAACCGTCAGAGAAGTTAACCGTCACAAATATTAACCGTCACAGATGTTAACCGTCACAAATATTAACTGTCGCAGATATTAACCGTCAGAGAAGTTAACCGTCACAAATATTAACCGTCACAGATGTTAACCGTCACAAATATTAACCGTCACAGATGTTAACCGTCACAAAGACAGCTCTCACAAATATTGATGTACCAACACTCAACAGTCTCTCTCTCTCTCTCTCTCTTTTGTAATCCCCCCCCCCTTCCTGTGAAGTAGTGGTGGAGACAGCTGATAATACAAGTTGGCTTTTACGCTAAAGTCGATTCTCCTTTTGGTATAATGTGTGTGTTTTATCCTTACTGGTACATGATAGTAGGGGGGGGGGACGTTGTATTTTGGTCGGAGCAGGATGTGATGCCGGGTAACAGAGATAGAGACATGAGAAAGAGTTAGGAGAGAGAGAGAGAGAGAGAGAGGAACATGGTCGACAAAAGAACAATATGAGTAATTGCTTTGAGCGACCATGTTTTGGCTGTGTCCAGGGAGGGAGGTGAGGGCTGCGCGTGTGACGGGCGCAAGGCGAAGTAATCGAAGTTTATAAATATTTCAGGGGGAATATACAGGTACAGTCAACAAAAAATGTTTACAGCTTTATGGTGTTAATTAATATGTCACACCGGACCAAGAATTCTGAACAGCGCTCATTTACGCGGGTGATTCCAGCTAATATCTCTGTATTAACTATATGTGATATAAAAAATACACCATACTGGCTACACAATGCATCACACAACCAGAAATACCAACCTTACAAAATTAACCTGGCCTCAGTCAGTGATCGTTGCAGAGACCATCAGACCAAGGTTGTAAAAGCCACAAGTCCAGAAAACTGTGAGAGACAACTTTTTCGATGTGAGAGTTGTGAACTCTTGGAACAATCTGCCACAAGTGTTGTGACGGCACCGAGTGTGAGTTCTTTCAAGACTAGACTTGACCATCACTGGAGCAGGTTTAGGTACATTCAGGAGCCAGTTCATGCCCACTGCCCAGTGTTTCCCAACAGTGTGTAAAAGAGACCTGACCGATCGTCCAAGCGGCTAACGAGCCGATCAGTGGTGAAGAGGATAAAGGAAAAGGAAAAGTAAGAGGGGTGGTGGAAGGGTGAGAAGGGGGGAGCGGGTGAGGGTGGGGCCACACCTGCTTGAGACAAGTGTTTAGCTTATATACCTGCGGCAACACCTGCTTACATACCTGCCGCAACACCTGTTTACGTCACCATCACCGCCCTGCCATCCTCACACTAGGCTGCACAACTAGGTTGAATTAGCTGAGCTAATTTAGCTGATCAGGTAATCCCTACCTGCTACTACCTAATGAACTAGTCACCAGTTCACTGTAATGTAATAGCGTGGTGTAGACGTGTAGATACTGTAGTTTGTCATCTACAACACCGTCACACTTGTAGTTTCAGCTGGAGTTAAGTGTAGTCTCTGGAGCTGTTTGAGAATAGTTAATATCCACACAAAAACTAGTTATGGTGTTATTATATTGTATACACACACTGTTTACCTGAGAACATTTATTGTTATGTATCGAGCCTCTCACGCGCGTCCGCGATACAAGGTTTAAGCTCACTGAGGGTTGGCTGGCTGGCCTGGGTAATGCAAGGAGAGGTCTGACGTGTGTGTGTGTTTGGATAGCGTGGGACTGTCATCCGGTACTTGAAAATGAGTGATTATAAGGTACGGTAGGTTCACATTTAGCATGTCTAGTTAATGCGGGTAATGCTAGTTACATAATTAATACTTGTAAATAGCCCACATTTACATCATTACTACTGTCTTTATTGTTGACAAAGGTTAGGTTAGGTTGGAATGAATCTTGCACCACAGTCAACCCCTGTCCCAATGATCCTTCGCAACACAACACCCAAATAATTATCGACTCTTCTGTTATTTACTAATAAGACAAAAGAGAGAAAGAAAGAATGGGTGAGATAGAAGTAATGAAATAAAAGAGAGAGAGAGAGAGGTGGATAAGCGGTGGCCGGTAATAAAGTCACAGAAAAAAGTCACAATTTTGGCTAGGAAAAAAAGTCACAGGAAAAAAAGTCACAATTAATTTATGGTGGCCGGTAATAAAGGTTAGGTTAGGTTACCATCAGTTCTGCATATTCCTTTGCTGAAACTGATTGACATATTAACCTTAAAAAATGTGAGAATTCGATAGTTAACTTTTCTTTTTTTTCCTGTGACTTTTTTTCCTGTGACTTTTTTTCCGTGACTTTTTTACCTGGATTCGGATAAGCATAGATAAGGTGTACTGTGCGTGTGTATGTGTGTGTGTGTGTGATGGAGGCTCTGACCCTTGTACATGCTTCACATTGGATATAAACGGCCTATAGTCACAAGCACCATGGACAGCAGCCAATGCAACAATTGTTACCATGACACAAACTAACTGAAGGAACCTTATTTGAGCTTGTCCACCTGAAGAGTAAAGAAACC